CACACACACACACACACACACACACACACACACACACACAAATAAATAAATAAAATTTAAAAGAAAAGAAGGCCCATGTCACACATCCTGAACTGAAAGCCACCTTTTACCTGCCAATACTTGGTGTGAAAAATAATTGTTCATCGCCACTGTATACAACTTTGGGTGTCATATATACCCAAATAACAGTGACTGAGGTGAATGTGAGCGAGTTGGGCCTTGTGACACAAGCAGGCAAGGTTATTTGGGGTAAATATGCCCAGGTAACCAGCAATCCTGACAATGATGGATGCATCCATGCAGTCTTACTAGTTTGACAGATGTTTCATAGAGTAACTTCTTACGCTTATTGCAGACTACAGACCAATCAGGAAAACCATAACTTGAATACTGCTGCACAACCCTCATGACTACATTCATCAAGAAAACTATTAAATTGCAAAAACATTTAAAAAAAAAGATAATATGGGGAAGATGCCGAGACCTCCTTAATAGTGTCCCACTTTCCTGTCTTCATCTGTCCAAGGAATGATGCTCAGGAATTTAGACTTTATGTTGTGCCGCCGGTGTGGTACTCGGGGTCCAGCCCAGGGCCTTGCTCCTGCTAGGCAAGCACCTTCCCAGAGAGCTACACCCAGCTGGGCTATTGGATTAGAATGCATGTAGAACTTGGGTAATACCACTGAATGTATAGCTGTGGTTCAGGGCTCAAATTGTGCATGAATGAGACTCTCTCATAATTTCTTTGAAGCTAGTTCTTTCCACATGAATACATATAAATCTAGTTGATTTGTTTAAATTTCCCTGTAATGGGGAGATGGCTCAGTGGAATAAGCGCTTCCCTGGCAAGCACAAGGGCATGAGTTCAATCCCCAGTTCCCAAAAAAAAAAAAAAAAAAAAAGTTTCCCTGTAATATACTATCTATAGTGTCTTAGGGACACACTATTCACACGTGCACTCTCCATGAGCGGTGGTGTCTGTCTGTTCAGACTGAGTGCAGCAGCACTTGGCTCATGGCTCCTCAATGTGGTGTCAGGCCAATCTCCACTGTTCCATGCTTCGGGTCTGTGAGACAAAACTAAGGTGTGGCTCAGCTGGGCTTTCTCTGCAGGCAGGAGAAGCAGAACTACATCTGTTCTCTGCCGGTCACATTGGATCAAGAGAAAGAGTCCTGTGAGACAGTGGAGAAGAGCTCACAGATTTGCTTACACTTACTTGGCCTGGCAGCCCTCAGAGGAAGATAAAGAGCCAAAGCAGCAGGTAGCATAGCCACATCCATACTGCACTGGACAGTGGTAGTGAGAAAACCTGACGCCCGCTTGGGCCATGGCAGTGCAGTGGAGGAGCCAAGGGCTACAGAAGGCTCTGCTGCCAGGCTCCTGCGGTTCGTACAGCACCAGTGCTCTGTTGTCTTCAAGCCTCTCAGCCCCCTCCCCAGCAGTGGGGATTGGATCCAGGGACTTGGGCTTGCTATGCAATGCAAGAGCTCCACAATCGTAGTCTCACAAAGTGATCCAGGTGGCCATGGAACATGGGCTTTTCCTGCCTCAGCCTCCTGAGTAGCTGGAATTACAGGCATACATCATTAGACCCTGCTTCCCGAGCTTATTATTAAGGCAGGTCACATGTCTTTGTCTCTTACTCTCAGCAACAAAGCAGTCAGTCCCTGTTGGGCTTTGCATCCCTAGTGTGTGTGTAGGAGAGAGGGAAGAGAGGGAGAACTCACTTGACTTTATTTATTTATTTATTTATTTGTATTTTAGGGACCTACATCTTCAGGGTGTTGAGGGTCTCACTACTAGATTGGGCTCGTGGTGCTCCGTCTGTTTACAGCCTCCCAAGAGCTGGGATGACAGGCCCACCACCACGCCGTCTCAGTCTTTCTTAGCGCACCCCAGGGGTAGGCCCAGGGATTGAACCCTGGGCCCCTGCGCCTGCTTGCAGGCACTTTATTCGCTGAGCTATTTGGCTGGCTCTTCACAGCAACAACAAAAATAACACCTCTCTGATTATTTGTATATTAAACTAAACCCACTTAGGACTTTGTTTTTAATATCCCTTCATTTGAAAGAGTCACTGAATGAGGTATCCCAGGTGCCACACGTGCCTGGGGTTGACGCCATCTGTTGGCTGGACGCTTGGCTGGGCTGTTGTCCAGGCACCAACCCGTGGCCCCTCGGCGGGCCTTAGCCTGCTAGCAGCCTGGCAGGTAGCATCCAGGAGGAAGAGAGCCAGGAACCAGTATGCAGGAGGCAGAAGCGGGGCAAGGTGCTGTGTGTCTGTACTGCCAGCATTTTTGAGGCTGTGGCGGAAGATCGTTGTGAGTTTAAGGCCAGCCTGGGCTCTGTGGTGAGTTCACGGGCAGCCTAAACTGCATAGGAAGACCCTGTCTCAAAAAAAGTGCAGTATTTGTGTGTATATGCATGAGTTTCTATGATGTACATACTTAAAGTCATGAGATCATCAAGTATGTGAATTTGCAGTTAATGGTGATACTGAAGTGCCCTGTTTCTTGTGGTTATATCAGCTTTTGCATCTACGCCAGGCACGTGAAAACCACACCTTGGAACAGTTAGAGGGAGAGAGATGATGGGATTTTTTTGTTTTTATTCCTCTTCCCATTGGTCAAATTTCACAGAATACAGTGGCACCTTGGTTCAAAAGGCGAAAGATTTATACAACTGAAGAGAATCCAGACATAGGCACCTTGGTTCTAACACTTAATTCTTTCCACGATTCTGGCTGCAAACCACATCGGAAGAGAACCGGATCCAATTTCATTGGTTAGGTTCAGTGCTGACCTTACAGGGAAATTTGATTCTGTTCTCACCCAGTTCGGTTTGCAGCCAGAATTGTGGAGAGAAGCTAGTGAACGAAGCACCCCTGTATTGGCTGACCTGCATGCCCTGTGGCTGCGTCACCTGGCCCTATGAGAGCCATTCAGGAGCCAGGACGAGCTGGGTGCTCTGTTCACTCCAAGGTGGGAACAAAGAGTGAACTCGGCATTGGAAGGTGGCCGGCTCTAGCGCTGCACACAGCCGAGCTGCCTCAGGACTGCACCGGTTCAGTGTCCCAGTGGCGGAGTGCCGCGTGCAGCCACAGGAGAGCACCAGCGAGGGTCCAGGGGAGCCAAGAATGCCTGTCCCCCAGGTGCGTTGCTGCGTCTCCAGGTCATGCGCGCAAGCATGTCACCTTGCATGGCTGTGCCACATGAAGCCAAAGCAGATTGGTAATGTCAGACCTTTGTACTATGTAGGGCCATTTGTTTTTGCAGGCCAAGTAGCAACAATTAGTCACTTAAGACAGCTGTGAGTAACCAGCCTAAACACAGTTATAAAAGAAATTCCTGGGGACAACCCATTCGCCCCCCCCTTCTGTCCTTTTCTTGGGCAGAAGCTTTCTTTCTTTTCTTTTTTTTTTTTTTCCTCTCTTTTTTTTATTTTTTTATTTATTTTATTTTATTTTATTTATTTATTTTTTTATTTTTCAACAAATAATACACTGCATATATTCTTCTTAGTGGTTAATTGCTGTACAAGATGCGGACTTGTGATCCTATTTACAAACACCATTAGAACAAATCATTCTATTCATTGGGCAGAAGCTTTCTTTCCCCTAATAAATATATTCTACTCTTAACCTCTGTTTAAAAAAAAAAAAAAAGAAAGAAAAGAAAAAGAAAAACAAATTCCTGCCTATGTATAAGATAAAATCCTACCTGGATTGAGTATGAACTTTGTAGTTTTCTTTAAACTTGATATAAAATATAAAACACATACATCACACCTGTAGTCCCAGCACTCAGGAGCCTGAGGCAGAAGGATCACTACAAGTTCATGACCAGCCTGGGTAACGTAGTTCAAGGCCAGCCTGAACTGCATAGACAAGATCCTGTCTCAAAAAAATCCACCACCCCCCAAAACCCACATACACCATTTTTCCTTTGTAATTATTTTTCTTTAATTCATATTAAATTCTTCTGGTTAGAGAAATAGAGACAGTTGAGTTCCCTCCTGTTATACCAGGAAGTTTGGTGTGTGGCCTTCTGATCTCTGTATGTGTACACTTGCGTGCGTATGTGTTTATCAGCTCCCAAGTGTCTTCCCTGAACAAAAGTGTGGACGCATACTGCTTGCTTTTCACTTGTGGTACTGTTTTATGGACGTATGTAAGGATGTTCTTCTGTTTTCAGTAGCGAAATAGATTTCATAATATCCACACACATTACTGTCCTAATTTCCTCATTTCTTTTTTTTTTTCTTATTTATTTTTTTGATCTTTTTGAGACAGGGTCTTGCTGTGCAGTTCAGGCCTTAAGCTCACTTCTCAGTCCAGGCTGTTCTCAAACTCATAATGATCCTCTTGC